CCCCAAAACCCCAAAACCCCAAAACCCCAAAACCCCAAAACCCCAAAACCCCTATAATGGGCAAGCATGCTGAACAAATATTCAATAATAATTATTTGATTAATATGGAACCTACCAAAGCAAGCAGCGAGGAGCAAAAGAACGTGTTTGAGAATATTGAGACCACATTTTCAACAACTGACATCAGGACAGTCTACAAATTCAAGAAATTGATCGGAGGTGGCCATTTCGGCACAGTGAGAGTGGCCTACCGAAAGACTGATCCTGAAAAATAAGTACGCAGTTAAGAGCATCCTGCGAGAAAGCATGAAGAAAGATGTTGCCATGCTAGAGTCTGAGATCAACATCTTAAAGGAGTTAGACCACCCCAACATTGTGAGGTTTTACGAAACGTATATTGACTACAAATACATCCACATTGTCATGCAGCTGTGCACTGGTGGAGAACTCTTCGACAGGATTGTCAAGCTTGAGAAGTTTTCAGAAAAAGATGCCTCAGACTTAATGAAGAAGATTTTGTCAGCAGTGCAGCATCTCCACGAACATAGCATTTGCCACCGAGATCTGAAGCCTGAAAACTTTTTATTCAAGAATAACAAAGAGAATGCAGAAATTAAAATTATCGACTTCGGGCTGTCTAAGAAGTTCTCGAAGCTAGAGACAGACATGACAACCATCGTGGGGACACCTTTCTATGTGGCACCCGAGGTCTTGTCTGGCAATTACGACACCCAGTGTGACTTGTGGAGCTGCGGTGTAATCCTCTATGTACTACTATGAGGATATCCTCCATTCGATGGAGACAGCAACAAAGATATTTTCAGAGCAATCATCAAGTCTAAGCTTGAATTTGATGAAGAAGAGTGGGGTAACATATCAGACGAGGCTAAAGACCTCATAGCTCAATTGTTGACTAAAGATCCAAAAGAACGTGTTAAAGTATCAGCAGCACTGAACCACGTCTGGTTTAAAAAGTGGGAAGATGATGAGGTAGACACCAATGAATTTCAGACCAAATATCTGAAGAGACTAAAGAATTACAGGGCTCCTAACAGACTGCAGTACGAAGTCCTTTCTTTCTTGATGAAGAACCTGGACACCTCAGAAAGAGTCAAGATAAAGGAGGTTTTCAGAAGTATAACTGCAAAAAGCTCAGGAGACCTCACTTTCCAGGACCTTGAAGAAGCATTTGGAGAAGTAGGCATCGACGGGGCTACAGAACACATAGAAGAATTAAAGAAATGACTAGACTTCGATAAAGATGGCAAGATCAAGTACACAGATTTCCTATTGGCAACTATTAACAAAAATGAGGCCCTCACAGACGCTAATATTCAGTTTGCATTCCATCATTTCGATACTGATAACAATGGGTTAATCACTTTGGATAATCTCGTTGAGGCATTCCATAGAGAAGGAAAGGGGCTTTTAGAGGACGATATCAAGGAAATCTTAACTCAAGCTGATATCTCCAACTCTGGAGAGATTACGTTAGAGGACTTCACAAAGTTAATGAAATATGATCCTTCCAAAATTCATCATAAAGACTAAAAATAGCCTGAATCAGCATTCATATTCAAAATTATTATGCTTTGAAGTTTAATCTAAATAAGCAATAAAATTCAAGTCGTGTGGGGGTCTGGTTGACAACTTTTAGCAATGGGTCCTAATGCTCCTCTTGGAGAAAGCAATATTGGTTATTTTAGAAGGTTAAATTATTCAAATTCAGAAGCACTAGCAGGGGTTTTGGGGTTTTGGGGTTTTGGGGTTTTGGGGTTTTGGGG